CGGCTTGGAAAGTTGCCAATTGGCAGGATAACTCGAAACGCAAGGTCAGTCCAGTGTGTGATTGGAGTAGCTGACGGGCGGACTGAGAGTCAGGCTGCGATTGCCCCTTCTAAATGTGACCCTTATGGTACTCCCACTCTGTGAGACCTAAACTAGGTGTGGCGGCACGCTTAGGGGCGACTCCGGCAGTGCCAGCCACCTGTGCCTTCTTCCGCCTTTGGTTTGCTTGGCGTGGTAAGGACGCAGGGCCCAGGTGGGGTAGAGCGAGAGAGTGCGGTAGACGCAACGTAAGTCTACTACCACATAAAACTAATTCACACATAAGTCACGCTGATCGCCTTCGGTTTGCTGAAGCACGCGGTGGACATTGTTGAAATCGACGGTCGAACCGTCATACGGTCTGTCGAAGACTATCACTGTCGCAGTGCGTCTAGCCCAAAATTAGCACGGTTGCGAATCCTGCACGAAACTTTTCATTCTCCGATAGGAGCAGTATTGAGGTTCTGTCTGGATCAAACACAGCGGATGAAGATCGAGGTCAAGACGCCTTTGAGCCAACGCAGTTGAAGCAAAGGTAACAAAGACTAATAACCAGGAGGGTAGATTTGTTGATGTGACTAATTTTTCACAGTTGAAACCATTACGGAATTTTTAAAGCAGAAGAGCAAGTAAGTTATGTCTACAGTCCCCAAGGCACCGAGTTCACAGGCCTCAGTTCAAACTCCATTCCACTGTATGTGGCACAATAACTAATACACTGATTTGTAGAGCCTCCTGGCCTGAAGAGAAAATTGTCTAGAATGGTGACTTTCGAGTGTGCTATGATGACTGGCGTAGTAATAAGAAGCACTTCAAATAAACAGAAGATTGTTTCCCATGGATAAACATTAAAGACAGAAGAGGGTATAGAGTAAATTATACAGGAGACAACTGCCCGAAGTCGAGACCTTGATATAGACTAGTTATAAGAACTTGTCAGAGGATTAGGTATGCAGAAGCCGAAAAATAAATCAGTCAGGGGGAGATTGATTTTGCGGACAGGATAGAGAAATAAGA